AAAAAAAAAAAAGTACTCCGAGAAAAAAAGATAATGTAGTTTATGTGGCATTATATTAGTTGCCTTTCTGGATCTGCCATATAAACAGCTTGGCGGTTTAATTATTAGTAAGCTGCGTGCATCCATTTTAATACAATGATTATATATTTTGTAGCTGTATTGAAAACACAGCTGCCAATTAAATGTAAAAAATTACTAAAAAGTGGCGTATTTTATGTAGTGAAACACGCTAGCATAAAAGCAACATGTAAGTAAACTACACAGTACTCTAACAAAGATTTTAACTCTCAAAATTTGTTCTTAATTATTCTACAAAGGAAGTGACAGTCGATTACAAAAGGTACATTTAACAGTTTCACATTTCTTAATAATAATAATAATAATAATAATAATAATAATAAAAAAAAATTCTGCAAACTTACTTATATTATTGAGTTCTTGTTAAAACGATTTAGTCGCCGGTTGGTGGCTCTCTCTTAGCCACAGACGCTTCGAGACAAGTGCTCCATGTTTGCGGTGAAACCTGTAACGACGTCGACGACGGTGCTTCGCTTCAAATCAAAGCTTCTGTCTGAGTCCGAAACCCGCTTCTCTTAAATCACAATGTGACAGATCCGGGGTGTTTTTATTCACAGGTTTGCCCGATATTACTGTGTTTCCCGGAGACAAGTGGATAAGTCATCTACCTGTAAGTCTTCGGGTTCCTCCCCCACCTCTTTCCTTTACCTCACTAGACCACACCCCTCCGTCACTCCTCTCACCTGAGCTTTGAACACGAGAGTAAACCTGAAAGGGTTAGCATAACCAAGTCAGGCTTCACCCCATGTGGTCTGAGTGATGTAAATGTATTAATGTGTCAATCGTTGGGAAGTTCTTTATTTTAGTTAATTTTATTGTAAAAAAATAAATAGAGAAATAAATCAATAGCACATTTAAACGTGCTATATGAATACTTACTAAACAATATGATTTCATGTTTAAGTATAAATATTAAATCACTTGTAAGTATTTTTTAGACAGAAAATGTAATTATATAGCTACTATATTAAAATGACTTAAGTTGTAATATTTTGTCTGCTACAGTGGTTTGAGCTCAACTAAAACTGTTTTCATTAAGTTTATTTGTATAAAACGATCTCTAAATAAAAACTAATATATACGGGTCGACAGTTTAGTGAAGCTGATAAAGCAAAATAAAGTCTGTCTTATTTTAGTTAAAATATTAGCTCATTTTATTTTAACGTTAGCTTTGAAGCTAATAGCTTTTCTTATGTGCACTTAAGAGTAGGTCAATTTATTGGCAGATAAACATTAGGCAGCTAAAACTGCTTAAAGTTTCAGAAAAGTGTAAGTTGCTTAAACAGTTCTAGCTGATGTTGATTGTAATAATTATAATAATAATCATCATTCCACATTGAACATATGTTGCCTGCATGTAACTTAATTCTCTCAAAATCAATTCGTTTGGTAAAAATCAAGACGTTTTTAATGACCACCAGGACTGTGTGAACCCGTTAGCAAATACTGCTAAAGTTTATGTAAAACTTTATTTTTAATTTAAAATGTTTTGTGGGTTACCACTGCAGTAACTAGCACGTGTTTTTGCACTGGTAAAAACCAACAAACTATGTGGTCACTTTGTAAATACATATTAATAAAAAAGCAACGTGTGTTGTCTTACTAATACATGTACTGCTTGTAATGTGATTACTTTTGATCAGACATTGACTATAGCTTGAAAAGAAGATAAATATTCTTTTTTGGTAAAGAGTTTGTAAACAACCAAGTTTTTGTCACTGTATACTGAGGATATTAAGAATCACAAGATGAATTATCCATACATGATAAAGCGCCATAGGCCTGGCAAAAACTGCTAGGCTAGATGTTTGCTATGAATAATAATAATTATTATAATGATCATGGAAATAATATAAAAATATAAAAAAGACAACTTTCAAAAAGATTAGAAGGTTTAATTAATATGTCGTTAAATTACTTTTAGTTTGAATCTCTGACTGTGTTACTGAATGTATTACTTGCCTTGACCAGGAAATGACCATACTGAATCATAACACTACTCCACGTGAATAGTGTTGTGATTAATTTAAGTTAATGAATACTAGAGTGCAAACTGTTACTACAGTGTAATTAACACCATTGTGTTACTCTCAAGACTGAGCATGGATTAAACCTGCTATTAGGTTTGAGTCATATGAAGTGTCACAGATGGTTTTCCGTTTCAGTCTTCCTTTCCTCCATGCCTGTTGTTGCTGAACCAGTTGGACGAGATTTTTAGTCTCTCAAGTTGCATTTGAATGCAAAGCAGGCAGCACAGATAGAACTTTGCACTTCCTGGTACAGTCTCTCCTACTTTACTCCTCTCTGCCAGCCTGCCTCGGTTATACAACCCTGACAGTGGACCAGCCTATAGGACCGTGCACACATGATCGCCCTAAAAGTAATCTGTTACCACTTCTTTCAAGCGCTTCCAGCTCGGCTACGGCTTAACAGTCACAACAGGCTTGTGATGACTTAGACCTCTTTCAGGAATATGTTTGGATTTTTTTTCTGTCATTAGCTTCAGACAAACAATAGAAACATTACGACATAATGAGATGACAAATTATGGTGTCATCAAATTTCTTAAGTCATGCAGGACAATAATAACCCATTACACATGTATTTAGACAGAAATGTGTTGTTTCCAGCAAGTGATGAGAGGCTAGAGGCTGACAGGAAGTGTGTGTAGATATATCCCTTATATATTTATAAATGCACCG